ATGATGCTACAAAGGGATTTAACCGGGATTCGAACCCACGACCACAGTATCCTGGCACAAGAAAGGGACGTAAGCTTTAAAAGTCGTCCCTCTTTCACTTCTATTCCTACTCAGGAAATATTAGGCACTGGGGTAGTCAAGTGGTTAAAGTTTTCGCTCTTCACAGCTCAGGTTCGATTCTCAAACTACATTTGGTGTTCGAGTACTGCGTATAAAGTAAATGAGTGAGTATGGTTTTACGTCGCTTTTAGCAATATTCCAGCAATATCATGGCGGGGGACACCAGAAATGGGCTTCACACATTGTACCGATGTGGGGAAACGAACCCGGGTCTTCGGCGTGACGAGCGAACACTTTAACCGCTAGGCTACCTCACCACCCCCAACGTATAACGCGGTATGGCAATAGATTTGTATGAATTGCTGAAAGCTGAATTGACAGTCACTGTAAGAAGCGTACTTTCGTACTCATGACACACCAGGCACTGTCATTTGTGACTAAATTACTTTCTCTAATTTACATTTTAGCAAGGTAAAAAAAAAAGAAAAAGAAATGCTTACGAACATGTTCACACAGAGGCTTTTGTGAAGGAGTGTCACTGAACACGTGGAATGTGGCGTGACGAGTAAACAGGAGGACGGACTTGACCAGCACCTTGACCTCTTCTAACCTCTTACCGCACATCGCCAGGGCCAGATGCATTCCATCTGGACTGTAGAACAAAACTCAGTGAGTGAGTATGATATTACGCCGTTTTTAGCAATATTCCAGCAATATCACGGCAGCGGATACCAAAAATGGGCTTCACACATTGTACCCATGTGGGGAATCGAACCCTGGTCTTCGGCGTGACGAGCGAACGCTACCCCACCGCCCCGTAGAACAAAGAAACAACCATTGTCTATTGTCACTGCTTCGTCTCGTTTGTTTGTTTGTTTGTTTTTTATCCTGTACTCAGAAATTGCAAGATGCACGACGGGGGTCCGGACCAGACAACCCGGTGATTGATATCATGAGCGTCGATTTACAAAACAGAGATACAGTGACATGCATTTTACAAGCATGACCATTAAACCTCCTTAGGGGTCTCTGCATTGCGAACATGTGTGACATTCAAATGGAGCACCAGTTACAGTGAATGGATGGAGTTTAACGCGGCAATCAGTACCATGTCTTGACAATCTTCAAATAGTGGTGTTTGTGCCCAACGCGTGACTGACTCAGAAATAGGACTTGATCTGCTTGATGTTCAAGAGGAAAGATAAGTACAATTGGAGTTAAAGCTCAGGTTGTAACGAAATTGACCTGCCATTGACTGATCCCTTACATATTGTCAATCCGTAGCCTTCAGAGGGCAGCCATTGCCTGTTAACTCGTGCATGTCGACTTGAAACCCAGTGGAAATTATCGTTGGATATAACGAAGTATACATTAGAAAACTCGACTTGAGTTTTGTTAAACACAAACGTTATCAAAACATTTATTTTGAGGAAACACTACAGACTTAATGCCCAAACTTGTATTAAATACATCGCTGTCGATTGATAACGGTCGACGAAACACAACAGACTTACTGTCCAAAACATAATCGTAAAACCTGTATCAAATACATCGCTATCAAACAACCATTTCTTCCTTGTTCAATTTTCCGCAACCATCAAACAAAATGTACACTTTTTTTTGTCCGATAGTGTATGTAAATTGTGTGAGCTTTGTATGCATACCTGACAGCCTGGTGCTTGGTGCCGCTTGTGTCCTGACCGCCGCTGAAGGAGAACCTGTTGAAAATATGATAATACTTTATTGCCGAGAGGGAATTTGGTGGTATTTATTAGACAACATACATTACTGTACGTGGGACAAGCACATGTAGCATGTTTACATATAACGTTTGCCCAAGAGGTATTTGATAAAGTCTGGGCATGCAAAGTAATATAATGTTATAAAGGAATGTGAAGGAGGGTAGTAAGTGTTATTCAATGTTACTTTATGCTGTGTCGATACTAAAACTTGGCGGGTGTGTGTGTGTGTGTGTGTGTGTGTGTGTGTGTGTGTGTGTGTGTGTGTGTGTGTGTGTATATGTGGGAGAGGGAAGGGAAAGGGTGTCTGAAAACGGCGCCTGGAAGGTAAAAGTTCGTTATGAAGAAAGTGTTCGGGGAAAATATTGACAGCTAAAGTGTAAATTTAGAGTTGGTCGCTTCTGAAGTCGTATTTTACCTGCAATTTACTTTTCAAGTTATACTAGTGTTGGTACTCCAGTTATACTACAGCTAGTATTCTGGTTATACTACAGCTGGTATTCCCGTTATACTATAGTTAGCATTCCCGTCATACTACAGTTGGTATTCCGGTTGTACTACAGTTGGTATTCCAGTTTTACTACAGCTGGTATTCAGGTTATACTACAGTTGGTATTCCGGTTATACTACAGCTAGTATTCAGGTTATACTACAGTTGGTTTTCCGGTTGTACTACAGTTGGTATTCCAGTTTTACTACAGCTGGTATTCCGGTTATACTGCAACTGGTATTCCGGTTATACTACAGTCAGTATTCCGGTTGCACTACAGCTGGTATTCAGGCTATACTACATATCATATTGAGGCTATACTACAGCTGGTATTCCAGGTATACTACAGTTGGTATTCCAGTTATACTATAGTTGGTATTCCAGTTATACTACAGTTGTGTTCAGTCATACTACAGTTGGTATTCAGGCCATACTACAGCTGGTATTCAGGTTGTACTACATTTGGTATTCCACTTATACTACAGTTAGCATTCCGGTTATACTACAGAAAGTATTCCAGTTATACTACAACTGGTATTGCGGTTATACTACGGCTGGTATTCAGGTTATATTACAGCTGGTATTCAGGCTATACTACAGCTGGTATCCCAGTTATACTACAGTCAGTATTCCGGTTGTACTACAGCTGGTATTCAGGCTATACTACATATCATATTGAGGCTATACTACAGCTGGTATTCCAGGTATACTACAGTTGGTATTCCAGTTATACTATAGTTGGTATTCCAGTTATACTACAGTTGTGTTCAGTCATACTACAGTTGGTATTCAGGCCATACTACAGCTGGTATTCAGGTTATACTACATTTGGTATTCCACTTATACTACAGTTAGCATTCCGGTTATACTACAGAAAGTATTCCAGTTATACTACAACTGGTATTGCGGTTAGACTACGGCTGGTATTCAGGTTATATTACAGCTGGTATTCAGGCTATACTACAGCTGGTATCCCAGTTATACTACAGTCAGTATTCCGGTTGTACTACAGCTGGTATTCAGGCTATACTACATATCATATTGAGGCTATACTACAGCTGGTATTCCAGGTATACTACAGTTGGTATTCCAGTTATACTATAGTTGGTATTCCAGTTATACTACAGTTGTGTTCAGTCATACTACAGTTGGTATTCAGGCTATACTACAGCTGGTATTCAGGCTATACTACATTTGGTATTCCACTTATACTACAGTTAGCATTCCGGTTATACTACAGAAAGTATTCCAGTTATACTACAACTGGTATTGCGGTTATACTACGGCTGGTATTGAGGTTATATTACAGCTGGTATTCAGGCTATACTACAGCTGGTATCCCAGTTATACTACAGTTAGTATTTAGGTTGTACTACAGTTGGTATTCCGTTAGAAACTACAGCTTATATTCAGGTTATACTATAACTGGTATTCAGGCTATACTACAGTTGGTATTCCCGTTATACTACATATAGTATTCCGGTTATACTACAACTTGTAGTCCGGTTATACTACGGTTGGTATTCATACTATACTACAGCTGGTATTCCAGTTATACTACAGTTGGAATTACAGTTATACTATAGTTGGTATTCCCGTTATACTACAGTTGATATTCCTGTTATACTACAGTTGGTATTACAGTTATACTACGGTTGGTATTCCAGTTATACTATACTTGGTGTTCAGTCATCCTACAGTTGGTATTCCAGTTATACTACAGTTGGTATTCCCGTTATACTACAGTTGGTATTCCAGTTATACTATAGTTGGTATTCCAGTTATACTATAGTTGGTATTACAGTTATACTATAGTTGGTATTCCAGTTATACTACAGCTGGTATTCCCGTTATACTATAGTTGGTATTCCAGTTATACTATAGTTGGTATCCCCGTTATACTACAGTTGGTATTCCAGTTATACTACAGTTTGTATTACAGTTATACTACAGTTGGTATTCCAGTTATTCTACTGTTGGTATTCCAGTTATACTACAGTTGGTATTCCAGTTATACTATAGTTGGTATTACAGTCATACTATAGTTGGTATTCCAGTTATACTATAGTTGGTATTCAAGTTATACTATAGTTGGTATTCAAGTTATACTATAGTTGGTATTCCCGTTATACTATAGTTGGTATTCCAGTTATACTATAGTTGGTATTACAGTTATACTAAAGTTGGTATCCCCGTTATACTACAGTTGGTATTCCAGTTATACTACAGTTGGTAACCCCGTGATACTACAGTTTGTATTCCAGTTATACTATAGTTGGTATTCCAGTTATACTTGGTTGGTATTCCTGTTATACTATAGGTGGTATTCCCGTCATCCTACAGTTGGTATTCCCGTTATACTACAGTTGGTATTCCAGTTATACTACAGTTGATATTACAGTTATACTATAGGTGGTATTCCCGTCATCCTACAGTTATACTACAGTTGGTATTCCAGTTATACTATAGTTGGTATTACAGTTATACTACAGTTGGTATCCCCGTTATACTACAGTTGGTATTCCAGTTATACTATAGTTGATATTCCAGTTATACTATAGTTGGTATTACAGTTATACTACAGTTGGTAATCCCGTGATACTACAGTTGGTATTCCAGTTATACTATAGTTGGTATTCCCGTTATACTATAGTTGGTATTCCAGTTATACTATAGGTGGTATTCCCGTCATCCTACAGTTGGTATTCCAGTTATACTACAGTTGGTATTCCAGTTATACTATAGTTGGTATTACAGTTATACTACAGTTGGTATCCCCGTTATACTACAGTTGGTATTCCAGTTATACTATAGTTGGTATTACAGTTATACTACAGTTGGTAATCCCGTGATACTACAGTTGGTATTCCAGTTATACTATAGTTGGTATTCCAGTTATACTATAGGTGGTATTCCCGTCATCCTACAGTTGGTATTCCAGTTATACTACAGTTGGTATTCCAGTCATCCTACAGTTGGTAGTCCAGTTATACTACAGTTGGTATTCCAGTCATCCTACAGTTGGGTGACCGCCTCCGTGGTGTAGTGGTTAGAGCGTCCGCCCGGAGAGCGGAAGGTCGTGGGTTCGATTCCCGACCGCGTCAGACCAAAAGACGTTAAAATATGGTACTTGTTGGTCCCTGCCTGGCGCTCGGCATTAATGGGTACAACAAGGACTGATCGGCTCGGAGTCAGTATAATGTGTCTGAGTGGGTATTCATGCTTCACTGCGGCATGGTATCTCAGTGGGCTAGCACTATAAAACCAGCTTCAGTCTGGGCTAGTACAAGCAGCCGCACATACACATACACACGCATGCACGTCGTCATATGAGCGAAATATTCTCAAGCACGACGTTAAACCCAATTCCACCACCACCACCTACAGTTGGTATTCCAGTTATACTACAGTTGGTGTACGGTCATCCTACAGTTTATATTCCAGTTATACTACAGTTGGTATTCCAGTTATACTATTCCAGTTATACTACAGTTGGTATTCCAGTTATACTATAGTTGGTATTACAGATGTACTACAAATTGGTATTCGAAAAGGGGAAAGCCCGAAGTGGACCGAGACATTTCCACTTTTATGAAAGACAAAAACAAGGATATAAAAAGGACAAAAATTGGAACAGTCAGTACCCAAGGTCAAATGACACGTGGAACAGATTACATTGTACACATTGCAGTAACAAACAAGGAAACAATTCAGAAACTTATCCTCTCATCGTCAGACGATCTCATCCATGTATGGTGGAATTGAAAGCTGTGTTTTATCTCAAGGCTAACGCAGCAATTGGTTCTGCATCAGACAAGGTACGCGACAAGGAAGCGCACTATCCCCATGGCTCTACACAGTCTTCATCAACGATCTGCTCACTCAGCTCAAAGATTCGAGATAAGTCTTAAAGCACACTGTTTGTTCGGAATAGCACGACACGAATAATACAACTCAGGTGTTCGGCCTAGCCCCCAAAAAGTTAAAATTATTAAACGTGGACGATGTCAAACATTTATCAGCAACAGATTTAATGGGCAGGATTAACTTGTCTGTCTGAGAAAATGATTCAAATTGATTAGTTCGTTGTATGCATTGAATATGGTACCATGCACTTAAACACAGCACAAAATAGGCGGGATGGGCTGTTACCTGTTCGATGACACCCGACATTGATCAATAATTTTGTGTAACAAAACATGGAGTATAGTTTTAGCATAATTCAGAGTTGAATCACTGAGGAGAATTGTTGAGTTTCCACTTGCCCCGACCAACGACGACCGACAGTTCCTTATGTAAGTCTGCCCTCCTGTGACTCCTCGTTATAATTTTAAATTCAGTCATCTGTCATCAAGTACTATGGTGGTAGGAGTTTGTGAAATAGCCACTGGCCCGTTAGCCCGTGGCTAGTACAAATCCGATCGGGCCAGTAAATCTATACAGCCACTATCCCGACTGGCTAGTGAATTTCCATGGGGTCATTTCGTAAATATAGCACTCTCTCCGACTTGTTAAGTTATGATACACTTTTAAATCCTGCAAGATTCAAGTTGTTCATCATATTAGCTGCTTAATGATGAAATCCGTGTCATGCCGACAATATCTTATTCTCATCTATTTTTGTAATATTTTGCATAGTTTCTACATTCAAATTTCGGGCTAGTGATTTATTTGTTGGCTAGTAACTTTCAGGCATAGCTAGCCCGACTTGCTAGCAAAAACTGGAAACTATTCCGCACACTGGTGGTGTGTGGTCCTGTGTATAGAGCTCGGGTCACAAATCATTTGAAATTAAGCAACACTGAGGGCGGAGAATCCTTCGATGAGTGACCGTGTTTGGCAGCTTGACTCGTGAGAGTTTCTAGGACGTTGTCCCACAACGAAACACGTGATGCATGTGGTCTCACCTCAGGCAAGTGATTTTGTTCAAAATTGCCTCTGTTCACCCAGCAGAATAATGGGTACCCGTTGGGATGTGACTCTAACCTTCTAGCGCCTAACAGGCAGCTTGGGTTATCCGGGGTAATAATGTTGTGGTGTTTGTGCTCGCTTTGAGCATGCCCCTTTGTGGTGTGGTGTATTGGGCAGTATAAGTACCCTCATTATTTATTACTGATTATCTTACGCCGCTGCGTACTCACACATTCGACGTACAGATGAACAGATTCGAGAATAGTTATGTGTACTTACATGGGTGTTCTTTCATATTTTCCCAAATACTTCTCAGCCACAGCTCTGTCGACGACCGACAGCCTGGAAAATGGAAACAACATTACATCAGTATAGAATGGAACAATAACCATATCACAACTACCGCGGCGACGGCGACTACTACTACTACTAGTGCTACGACTACCACCACTGCCTCTGCTGTTATTCTCACTACTACGACCCTACTACTGCAGTACCTACTACTTCTACTACTACTACTACTACTACTACTACTACTACTACTACTACTACTACTACTACTACTACTACTGTCACAACTACAGAAGCTGCTTCTCCTCTACCACCAACTTATACTGACTGACTGAGTTTGGTTTTACGCCGCTTTTAGCAATATTCCAGCAATATCACGGCGTGGGACACCCGAAAATGGGCTTCACACATTGAACCCATGTGGGGGAATCGACTACTACTATTACTACCCTTGAAGGTCCGGGTTAGAATATTGATCTTCAGTAACCCCTGCTTGTCGTAAGAGGTGACTAACGGGATCGGGTGGCCAGGCTCGCTGACTTGGTTGACACATGTCATCGGTTCCCAATTGCGCAGATCGAGGCTCATGCTGTTGATCACTGGATTGTCTGGTCCAGACTCGATTATTTACACGCCGCCGCCATATAGCTGGAATATAGCTGAGTGCGGCGTAAAACTAAACTCACTCACTCACTCACTACTATTACTACTGCTACCACTACTACTATTATTATTATTACTACTACTACTACTACCACTAATACTATTACTACTGCTACTGCTACTACTACTACTACTACTACTGCTACTACTACTACTATTACTACTACCACTACTACTACTACCACGGGAGGTGGGGTAGCCTAGTGGTTAAAGTGTTCGCTCGTCACGCCTAAGGCCCGGGTTCGATTCCCCACATGGGTACAATGTGTGAAGCCCATTTCTGGTGTCTCCCGCCGTGATGTTGCTGGAATATTGCTAAAGACGGCGTAAAACCATACCCACTCACTCACGCATTACTTCTACTTTGGCCAATCTGAAGCCCATTTCTGGTGTCCCCCGCCGTGATGTTGCTGGAATATTGCTAAAAGCGGCATAAAACCAAACTCGCTCGCTTTGGCCAATCTGCTACTACAACACAAATAATCAGAACATACGAGCAGTACACACAGTACAGTCATAACAACAATACTCTTTTCAGTAAATCTAATTATCAATACTCAGAGTAAACAAGCCATGGTATGATTTTATGGTGTGCCTTATAATCCCAACGACACAGCAGTTCGTAACTGCCACAAACGCTCATTCTCAATAAACCGTTGCATTGATGTCTCTGGTTATTTATCCTAAAACAACAGTGTCCTTGATTAATCTAATGATTGGATTAAATGTAGTGGTACTCGGGTGTACTATAGCAGGCATCCATTCAGTTTATTTATGTAAACTTCAAAAGCGCAAGGGAAGGATATTACTGATTTTGTAATGTACGTTACTGTCTCCAGGCTGAACTGACAAAAGTCATTGGCTTTGTTTTAATGAATTATGCAATAAATATCATAAGTACTATTATGATAAACGAGATATGTGACAATAGATTTCTATTCAGCTCCAATGATGTGATCGTTTTGCGGATTTTGCAGAGTATGTTATAACTGTGTCTCCAGTTTTCATGCAGCACACGACTAACTTCATAAATACATTGACGCAAACAATATTTACAGAGTAAAAACAATTATTTGGGTTTATTTTAAGTGATAATAATGTACTTTACAAGAAAACAATGTTTGGTTCTTACATAAGAATCGTTTAATGTTCCACACTCATTTTATGTGCCATTAGTCAATGGTTATGGTTAAGGATGTAACGTACGTGACCACCAACTGTTCCTCAACTTGAGATTAAATAAATATAGGTCATTATTGAAATAATGCATGAAGTTGTTTTTATGCAATATGTCATAAAATGTGTCAAGTTCGACTAAAAATGGGATCAATAAGGACAAACTTGTACATGACAGAAATGTACGTTACCGTAATGTACGTTACCATCAGATACCAAACTGCCAACAACGGGGCGCTGAACGTGAAACAGCTTGTTTTGAAATATGTGGAGTGACATAGCTATATTGCATACGTCATCAGAACGTACGACAGCCGACCATATCTTATGACTTAAAAGATTATCAACAAATTTCGGTAAGTGCTTAGGGTGTCTTTTGTCAGGATAATATGAGAGTGACTAAATATCTGAAAAGTTACTTTATCTACACATTGGTTCCTCATCTGTAGCCCGTACTTTCTGAAGAAATGTAATTTTGGTGAATCTTATGCGAAATACGTTGTATGGGTGTTACTGAATAAGTGTAATGTACGTTACAGTTGGTAACGTACATTTCACCGAATTGTCAAATTAAATTTCAGTGATACTTGTATGATATCTTGCGAAGTAAATGTTGTCTTTTGAAGGACATGTTGACAACTCTATTCACTCATATTTATACCATTCTTGTTTGCATTAAGATCCATGGAAACCTCCATTATACATAATTACAACTGTTCGTCCTTGTTGATAGTATCATGATACAGTTCCTGAAAGTGTGCTGAGCTAACATATTGTAAAGCTGATGTTATTATATCAGTGTGCACATAGATTTACTCTGTCTACTACTTAAGCTATTTAACCTGTATTCATGTAAATCTGTTACTAAGAAACACAGGCAAAACATCTGGTAACGTACATTTCTTCGAGAAGAAGAAATATATGTTTCAGTGGCACAAAGGCGAAGATGTAATCTGGGTGTCGCGATCAGATATTTTGCGTAAAGTAGATGATCTAGTTCCTACTAGCAAGTTTTAGAGAATGTTGAGCGAGTGAGTGAGTTAAGATTTAAAGTCACATCGGCAATATTTCAGCCATATCCTGACTACCAACAAGCATTAATTTTAGAGTAAATAAAGGTAAATCAGCGAAGGACAGTAAATCCAACTAGAACATCACAGATATATGTATATAGCTAGTATGTAATTCTAAAACAGCTTAATTACAGAAGAAAATACAATACGGGCACGGGCTATACATCGCCAACTACTGAAGGTAGATCACCATACTAGGAACCATGGGGACTTACAGTGCTTTTGCTACCTGATGGACCCTAGCTAGATTTACACCACCCCTTAAGCCGCTGGCGCCTGTAAGAAAATTCAGCCATAATTTAAAATAACAAATATACCACATTTAAAAAGGTGGAAAGTTGAAATTGACTTTGAAGGTTTTGGGACCTCTGTGTCCTCTCAAGAGGACAATGATTTTATGATACTTTAACCCCCCTTTGAGGATACAGCCACTAATAATCGTAGTTCACTGTTGCTTGTTTAAAAAAATCATTTATAAAATATCATTTATGTATTCACAAAACATATGGTTCAGAATTTATCTAGTAATTCTATTTCCTTTACAAAAACAATGATTAAATGATAATTATTATTATAAAAAGATCCTTGATTGTTTTGACATTGAAATATTTGTCCCTTGTGATTGAAAAATCAATACAGTCAATCAGGACATGTGTGATTCTCTCATCACAAGGGATACAAAACGCAGGATCATCACCTTTTAACAGGTATTCATGAGTATATTTTGTATGGCCAATGCGACATCGTCGCATGATGACCTCTTCAAATCTGGACTGACAACCCAAGTAGGTGTAACTAATATAGGGTTTTATGGCATGTAAAGTATTGATACCTATTTGAGTGTCCCACTTCTTCTGCATCAGATCACGGATGTACGATCTAATGACAGCTTTGTATAGAATGAGAAGTGGTGTCACAGATTTGTTGAGTGCGGCCTTAGCAGCAAAATCAGCCATTGTGTTACAGAGAATGTTGAAGTTGGATGAAAAGGAAATATAGTTGGTTGTGCAGGCCTTTCAATCCTGGGTAGGTTCACTGTAATGTACGTTACTTGAAACGGAAGTGTTGGTCACATATTGTGGAACAATTGTTTGTTCAAGTTAATTTGCATTATTGCAGTTTGAGTTCTTTGCTACATAAGAGTAATTGCATCAAGCAAAATCAAAACATTTTGATATACACAATGTATGTGTTGAATGCATTGACTTATTGTTTCAACTGAAATGTACGTTAGCTGTTTATGATTTTACATTGTCAGTCTAATCTTTTGGATATCATGCCAATTACCTTTAACGTACTACGGAAACACATCTACAGTACTTTTGAGGTGTCAGGAGTATATTTTATATGTGCGAGTCACATTTGACATTATACGCAATTCATTGTAATGTACGTTACAGTTTACATCATTCTGAGTTGGGGGGATAAGCTGTGAACACAATAGTTTAAACTTTTTTTCTTGTCATTCATTTTCTTAGCTATGTGTTGGGTTGCATTTCCAGGGACATGTTCTTGCTTTCTAATGATTAGTTTGCAACCAGACAATGCTAATATTAGATGCCTTCAACAAGATGAACTTGAAAACTACAACATGATGTGTAGATATGTTCATTACACCCCAGATGTAAGTGACACGTCGCATTTATTGGGGTATGTGAATCAGTTTTGATACGTTTAGGTCTAACTGACATGTCTCATACATTTATCTGTGTACTGATACTAATGATTTAAACAGAACTTTCTTCAAAGATTGATAGGTTGCTGGTAACGCACATTACATGTTCCAAATTTGCTGATTAGTACTGGTAAAGTTGGATGGAGATTTCTGAATAAAGGAATAACTTTATATGCTAATTTTTGCTGTTCTGTATACTTGAAAACCTTTATAACAAAGACAACGTCTTTTAATTCCAACTGCGTGACACTTATATTTTTCAATTTGCTTGTGGTAAATGCAACGGTTTATTGAGAATGGGTGATAATGATCAGGCATTGTTTAACCCAAGTTCACATTTAGCGGGTGAACACAGAGTGAAGATCTGCTTGCTTGTTGAAATCTATGATCGTGCTTGTGAATTCCGGTTTGCACTGACTAGGTTTCTAGGTCTGACCTTGCCCCTGATCTTTGGGTTGCACCACATCCGGGTTTCCTTCCTCACGAAACTGACACGCCATAATAACACTTGGCTTGCATCTTGTTACTTGAAAGTCGCAATCAAAACTCCTTTCAAAATATTTACGTTCTTTGCGGAAACTAATTCCAAAGTCAGTTTATTTATTGAAGAAATGTATCATACGTTGCTGAGTTGCATGAGTAAGCAAGGAGTGAGCGAGTGAGTTTAGTTTTACGCCGCACCCAGCAATATTCCAGCTGTATGACGGCGATCTATAATTATTCGAGACTGGACCAGACAATCCAGTGATTAACATCATAAGCATCGATCTACGCAATGACGATATGATGACATGTGTCAAACAAGTCAGCGAGCCTGGCCATACGATCCGGGTTAGAATTGATCTTCAGTAACCCATGCTTGTCGTAAGAGGCGACTAACGGGATCGGATGGTCAGGCTCGCTGACTTGGTTGACACATGTCATCGGTTCCCAGTTGCGCAGATCGATGCTCATGTTAATGATCACTGGATTGTGTGGTCCAGACTGGATTATTACAGACCGCCGCCATATAGCTGGAATATTGTTGAGTGCGGCGTAAAGCTAAACTCACTCACTCGCTCACTCCTCGCTTACTCATTCAACTCAGCAACTTATAATACAGTTATACGTTTCTTTAATAAATAAACTGACTTTGGAATTAGTTTCCGCAAAGAACGTAAATATTTTGAAAGGAAATTTGATTGCGACTTTCAAGTGATAAACATTGTGTAAATGTTTGTGCAGGGATATTGTATCCAGTGATGTTGCCAGCGCCCCACGGTCCTCTTCCAACTTGGACGACGCAGTCGATATTGAACACACTTTATGGACAACAACTTCAGATTCTTGGGGGCGGTGGGGTAGCCTAGTGGTTAAAGCGTTGGCTCGTCACGCCGAGGATCCGGGTTCGATTCCCCACATGGGCACAATGTGTTAAGCCCATTTCTGGTGTCCCCCGCCGTGATATTGCTGGAATATGCTAAAAGCGGCGTAAAACTAAACTCAGTCAGTTCAGATTCTTGTGTTCCTCCTTGATTGACTGACTGACTGAGTTTAGTTTTACGCCGCTTTTAGCAATATTCCAGCAATATCACGGCGGGGGACACCAGAAATGGGCTTAACACATTGTGCCCATGTGGGGAAACAAGCCCGGGTCTACGGCGTGACGAGCCAACGCCTTAACCACTAGGCTACCCCACCGCCCTCCTCCTTGACAACGGTACAAGAATCTGTATGGAAACGTCGCCCTCACGGAATGCAAGTAGTTGGCATCCACGAAGTTTGCTCAATTATGTGCGCCCCAAATTCTATAATGCCACTCAAAGAGGACGAAGTCGGTGTTAAAGGGTTAACAGCTGGCCCCGAAATGGTCGATAGGCCCGGATGTCCACATCACACAGTCGTCACATCACTGTGCTCTTGCTGATGCTGTGACCCAAAGTCGCTCATGCTGATGACGCCGCTCATGCTGATGACGCCACTGTGAGCATCCGGTTGCGCAGATGAGTGAGTCAAGGAGTGAGTTTAGTTTTACGCCGCTTTCAGCAATATTCCAGCAATATCACGGCGGGGGACACAGAAATGGGCTTCACACAATGTACCCATGTGGGAAATCGAACCCAGGTCTTCAGCGTAACGAGCGAACACTTTAACCACTAGGTTACCCCGACGCCCCTGGTTGCGCAGATGAAACATGACAAGTGAAGGTCATCCTGCGTGGTAGTCACTGTCGGTCAGTTCTGAGACTGTCAGGTTTCTGGCCAGTCAGTTTGAGGCATCTCATTATCTCATTAATCTGATGGTTCTGACAACATCTGACAACACCTGACAACATCTGCGACGTTCCAGTGGTTCCGCTACTCATAATCTTGGTAATTTGATGTGTACCTTTAACAGGTGAACCACTTACAATGTCAGTGTTTTATCCTGTTGGTGCATATCATTCACGTGGAAGTCAACAAAATCATGATTTTCTGGATAAACCACGTACGACTCTTAAACGATATTTGTAGTGTCTTGGCAACAGGTACTCATTAGGGCGTGAAAGTCTTTCGGTATTACATTGGTTCCCGGCTCCTTTTGCGCGCGCCAACTTGCGATATGCGAGACTGGGTGACAAGCGTATATTCAAGAACCAGTTCTGCTTCCAAATTGCGCTACCGCCAAATATCACTTTATACAGCCGTTGGCAATTGGCTAATTTGGGGCAGGTTATATAGGAATTTTGTTATTCCTGCAAAGATTATTGTCTCCTTACTGTCAACTGACAACCATGAGACCACTCGAAAAGGTATGAAACGTCTCGCGAAGTGCAGTGACCTACTTACGGGTCCTATGCTTATGACTTGTCAATATAGCTGAAAAACCACTTTAAAAAATATATCTTTCTGTCCCTTATCTACTTACATGGACATTGTAGTTGTCTCTGGTTTGCTGGACCGCCTGAAATCAGAAAGAAAACATTAATAATAATGATACTATCCTTTCTGCTCAGTAAAGAGAAGGTTACCACTCCGGACCTTCACAGCGCAGATCTCCAACATCACTTACTCATCTCACGTACATGGAAGAAGGAGACTGACTGACTGACTGAGTTTGGTTTTACGCCGCTTTTAGCAATATTCCAGCAACATCACGGCGGGGGACACCAGAAATGGGCTTCACACATTGTGCCCATGTGGGGATTCGAACCCGGGTCTTGGGCGTGACGAGCCAACGCTTTAACCATTAGGCTACCCAACCGCAGCCCATGCAAGTCTAGAATATCTGGCAAATCTGTATTACCACAGTTTCAGGTATAGTGACACAGACAATCTCTGTTTTTCTCTTGAATTGATTCATTGCTATTATGGTAAGGTGAGGGGCGATTTCTATTATTGTTTTGATCCATGGGTAAAACTTAACGGTAACACTGATGAGGTAGTAATGGGAGGGTGACTGTGTATTCCAAAGGCATGTCAGTGATGATTGGTTGGTTGGCTGTTTACGCCGCACTCAGCATTATTCCAGAAACATTCCAGCTATATGGCGGCGATCTGTAAATAATCGAGTCTGGACCAGACTCATGTAGTCATCAACATCATGAACACCGATCTACGCAATTGGGAACCGATGACATGTGTCAACCAAGTCAGCGAGACTGACCACCCGATCCCGATAGTCGCCTCTTACGACAAGCATAGGTTACTGAAGATCAGTTCTAACCCGGATCTTCACGGAGCCATGTCAGTGAAGGGTGATCAGAATCTTTACTTGTGTTGTAAAATACCAAGCAGTTATAGCTCTAATGATTTGTTTACACCTTGAAAATGAAGAAACCTCTGCGCTCCTTCTTATTACACATTATGAATGTAATTGGGGAACTTGTTTTTGCGAAATATGTATATGTCAGAGACAGGAGACAAGTCTATGATACCCTCAGCAAGGTCTTTAATGATAGCGGTGGCATTGGGGTAGCCTATTGGTTAAAGCGTTCGCTCGTCACGCCGAAGACCCGGGTTCGATTCCCACATGGTACATTGTGCGAAGCCCATTTCTGATGTCCCCCGCCGTGATGTTGCTGGAATATTGCTAAGAGTGGCGTAAAACCAAACCCACTCACTCACTCACTCACTTGAATGACAGTGACTCATATTAATTTCCTGTTCTTGAGTAACAAAGAGTAGAGAGTAAAATATGAAATCAGTGATAAAACTATTCAGATAACATGCGGGCTGCTATGACAACAGAGATCCAGATAGGCTGAATATGAACGTCACGTTCAAAACATTGATCCTTAATGTCTCATACATAATACATTATGAATATATTCCTGTTGGAGAACCTCTCTGTATAACAAATCTGAGCAGCATTCACTCACTCACTCACCAACCCACCCACCCAGCCACCAGCTCTAGAGTGACCTGATCCTACAACTAATACACTCTAGATGGACCTGATCCTAATACTAATACGCTCTAGAGTTACCCGATCCTAGAACTAATACACTCTAGAGTGACCTGATCCTACAACTAATACGCTCTAGAGTGACCTGATCCTACAGCTAATACACTCTAGAGTGACCTGATCCTAGAACTAATACGCTCTAGAGTGACCTGATCCTACAACTAATACACTCTAGAGTGACCCGATCCTACAACTAATACGCTCTAGAGTGACCTGATCCTACAACTAATACGCTCTAGAGTGACCTGATCCTACAACTAATACGCTCTAGAGTGACCTGATCCTAGAACTAATACGCTCTAGAGTGACCCGATCCTACAACTAATACACTCTAGAGTGACCTGATCCTACAACTAATACGCTCTAGAGTGACCTGATCCTACAACTAATACACTCTAGAGTGACCTGATCCTAGAACTAATACGCTCTAGAGTGACCTGATCCTACAACTAATACGCTCTAGAGTGACCTGATCCTAGAACTAATACGCTCTAGAGTGACCTGATCCTACAACTAATACGCTCTAGAGTGACCTGATCCTAGAACTAATACAATCTGGAGTGACCTGATCCTAGAACTAATACAATCTGGAGTGACCTGATCCTAGAACTAATACACTCTTGGGTGATCCAGTTCTAGAACTAATACGCTCTAGCGTGACCCGATCCTAGAAGTAATACGCTCTAGAGAGGGTGTGAGTGGTGTAGGTGTGAGTGGTATGGGTGTGAGTGGTATGGGTGTGTGGTATGAGTGTGAGTGGTATAGGTGTGTGTGGTATGGGTGTGAGTGGTATGGGTGTGAGTGGTATGAGTGCGTGTGGTATGGGTGTGAGTGGTATGGGTGTGAGTGGTATGGGTGTGAGTGGTATGGGTGTGATTGGTATGGGTGTGAGTGGTATGAGTGCGTGTGGTATGGGTGTGAGTGGTATGGGTGTGAATGGTATGGGTGTGTGTGGTATGGGTGTGTGGTATGGGTGTGAGTGGTATAGGTGTGAGTGGTATGGGTGTGATTGATATGGGTGTGAGTGGTATGCGAGCGTGTGGTATGGGTGTGAGTGGTATGGGTGTGAGTGGTATGGGTGTGAGTGGTATGGGTGTGAGTGGTCTGAGTGTGAGTGGTATGGGTGTGAGTGGTATGGGTGTGAGTGGTATGGGTGTGAGTGGTATGGGTGTGAGTGGTATGGGTGTGAGTGGTCTGAGTGTGATTGGTATGGGTGTGAGTGGTGTGGGTGTGAGTGGTATGGGTGTGAGTGGTATGAGTGTGAGTGGTATGAGTGTGAGTGGCATGTGTGTGTGTGGTATGAGTGTGAGTGGTCTGAGTGTGAGTGGTATGGGTGTGGGTGGTGTGGGTGTGAGTGGTATGGGTGTGAGTGGTCTGGGTGTGAGTGGTATAGGTGTGAGTGGTATGGGTGTGAGTGGTATGGTGTGAGTGGTATGGGGTGAGTGGTATGGGTGTGAGTGGTGTGGGTGTGGGTGGTGTGGGTGTGAGTGGTCTGAGTGTGAGTGGTATGGGTGTGAGTGGTATGGGTGTGGTGGTCTGGTGTGTGAGTGGTATGGGTGTGAGTGGTAGTGTGAGTGGTATGGGTGTGAGTGGTATGGGTGTGAGTGGTATGGTATAGGTGTAGTGTGTGAGTGGTATGGGTGTGAGTGGTCTGAGGTGTGAGTGGTATGGGTGTGGGTGGGTGTGGGTGTGTGAGTGGTCTGAGTGTAGGTGAGTGGTATGGGTGTGTGTGGTATAGTGTGTACGAGTGGTATGGGTGTGTGTGGTATGAGTGTGTGAGTGGTATGGGTGTAGAGTGGTATGGAGGTGTGTGTGGTATGAGTGTGGTGGTATGGGTGTGAGTGGTATGGGTGTGAGTGGTATGAGTGTGTGTGGTATGAGTGTAGTATGGTATGGAGTGTGAGTAGCATGGTGTGGAGTGGTATGGTGTGAGTAGTATGAGTGTGTGTGGTATGGTGTGAGCGGTGTGAGTGTGTGTGGTACCGGTGTGAGTGGTATGAGTGTGTGCGGTATGTGTAAGTGGTATGAGTGTGAGTGGTATGGGTGTGTGTGGTATGGGTGTGAGTGGTATGAGTGTGTGTGGTATGGGTGTTATGGTGTGGGTGGTATGGGTGAAGGTGGTATGGGTGTGGGTGGTATGGGTTTGAGTGGTATGGATGTTATGGGTGTGGGTGGTGTGGGTGTGAGTGGTATGGGTGTGAGTGGTATCAATGTGAGTGATATAAGTGTGTGTGGTATGGGTGTTAGTGGTATGAGTGTGTGTGGTATGGGTGTGAGTGGTATGAGTGTGTGTGGTATGAGTGTGAGTGGTATGGGTGTGTGTGGTATGAGTGTGTGTGGTATGGGTGTGAGTGGTATGGGTGTGTGTGGTATGAGTGTGTGTGGTATGGGTGTGAGTGGTATGGGTGTGAGTGGTATGAGTGTGTGTGGTATGAGTGTGTGTGGTATGGGTGTGAGTGGCATGGTGTGAGTGGTATGGTGTGAGTGGTATGTGTGTGAGTGGTATGGGTGTGGGTGGTGTGGGTGTGACTGGTATGGGTGTGGCGTGACTGGTATGTGTGTGAGTTGTGTGGGTGTGAGTGGTATGGGTGTGAATGGTGTGGGTGTGACTGGTGTGGGTGGTATGGGTGTGGTGTGGTATGGGTGTGAGTGGTATGGGTGTGAGTGGTGTGAGTGGTATGGGTGTGGGTGGTATGGGTGTGTATGGTGTGGGTGTGCGTGTTATGGGTGTGGGTGGTATGGGTGTGGGTGGTATGGTGTTAGTGGTATGAGTGTGTGTGGTATGGGTGTGGGTGGTGTGGCTGTGAGTGGTATGTGTGTGTATGGTGTGGGTGTGCGTGGTATGGGTGTGAGTGGTAAGGTTGTGACTGGAATGGGTGTGGGTGGTTTGGGTGTGAGTGGTATGGGTGTGGGTGGTGTGGGTGTGGGTGATATGGGTGTGGGTGGTATGGGTGTGGGTGGTATGGGTGTGGGTGGTATGGGTGTGGGTGGTATGGGTGTGGGTGGTTTGGGTGTGAGTGGTATTGGTGTGGGTGGTATGGGTGTGGGTGGTTTGGGTGTGGGTGGTGTGGATGTGAGTGGTATGGGAGTGGGTGTGGTTGGTATGGGTGTGAGTGGTGTGGGTGTGAGTGTTATCGGTGTGGGTGGTATGGGTGTGAATGGTGTGGGTGTGACTGGTGTGGGTGATATGGGTGTGAGTGGTGTGGATGTGAGTGGTGTGGATGTTTTGGGTGTGGGTGGTGTGGGTGTGAGTGGTATGGGTGTGAGTGGTGTGGATGTTTTGGATGTGGGTGTGGGTGGTGTGGATGTGAGTGGTATGGGAGTGGGTGTGGTTGGTATGGGTGTGAGTGGTGTGGGTGTGAGTGTTATCGGTGTGGGTGGTATGGGTGTGAATGGTGTGGGTGTGACTGGTGTGGTTGATATGGGTGTGAGTGGTATTGGTGTGAGTGGTGTGGATGTGAGTGGTGTGGATGTTTTGGGTGTGGGTGGTGTGGGTG